CACACAATATATTTATAACACAATTACTTATGTAATAAATACTTACACATATATGTATTTGGTTATTACTCCTTTCGACGAGAAAAATGTAACTTTTACTTTGCACTAATATACCATTTTATTTATTTTCTGTTTTTCGTAAAATCTGAGACCTAAATTCGTATGACCTCGATATATACGTATTAAAGATATGTGGAAAGTTCATCAATTCAATAGAGAAATCTTGAATCTTAAATGTTGCCTATTTTTTCAAGAATAAAAAACATCTTAAAGCGGGTTTCTACCTTGTTGAGTCAAAAAAATCGATTTTTTTTTTTACATATTCTTAAAGATTATACTTTTAAAAATATGTGGTAAAAATTTAAAGTCAAAATTCGAAAAATTGATCGGGTTACAGCCTGTTGAAAAGTCAGGTAGCCTTGCGGAGCGCTAGGGCGGAGCGCTGCGGCTTATATGCGTATCGCACTCTTTTGGGTCTTTGCAGCTGCTTTATTATTCTTTTGTTATATTTCTACGTGGTTACCGTTAGGATGTTAGCCAGGTCATTTTCTCCATTTTTACTTCAATATACTTCGAAACGTTGAAGTGGAAGGACGATCTTCAAGTTTTCGATTATTTACAATTATTTTTTCGATTTTGTATCATGTTCGTTAATACGAAAGGAAATAAAGCAAGTAATGTGCGGCCTGGACATAAATGCAAGAGAAGAAAATTTTATGGAAATCGACATACAAATGAAACAGAAGTGTCGTTCGCTAGTACTTCCGCAAAAAACTGAAGAATAAAGACGATTTTGAAATCACAATCGATGCCGTGCATGGATATCGAATTATACACTTCCTGTTTGTTTTTAACATACTGAAAACTTTACTGAAGTGTAAAAAATGTGACAGTGATTTAAATTTTTATGTGAGAGGAGAACAAGGTTTGAGATTTAAAATTGTTGTTGATTGCGATTGTGACTCAACTGAAATTGATTCTTGTCCCAAAATAAACAATAAATCGTTTGAAATAAATCGACGAATAGTTTTTGCAATGCATCTCATTGGAGTTGGATTATAAGGCATCAATACTTTTTGTGGTTTGATGGACTTAGGTCAAGGACTAGCGACCAATGTATATTATGCATGCCTTAAAAACATCTGGACTACCAGTAAAGCAATTTTTGATATTGTCATACTAAAGGCAGCATCAGAAGAGAAGGAAAAAAATACTAAAGCAGGAAATGAACCTTTGCACTTAACTGTCTCGGGCGATGGAACATGGAGTAAGAGAGGCTATTCGTCATTGTTTGGAGTTATCACGTTAATTGGAAAGTATTCAGATAAAGTTATGGTTTTGATCGTCAAGTCTACATTTTGTCAGGTTTGCAACTGTTAGCAAGAGAAAAACGATGAGGAATTTGAAGTGATATGAAAAGCATGAAGAACATTGCGTAAGTAATCACACTGGAAACGCCGGCAAAATGGAAGTGGATGGTGTAATCGAAATGTTTGCGAGACATTTCATGAAGTCAAATATATTAATTATATCGGTGATGATAACACAAAAACATTCAAGGCGCTCTTAGACAGTAAGCCGTATGGAGATGAACTTCTAATTACAAAAAAAGAGTGCGTTGGACATATAAAAAAACATATTGGTTCTCGACTAAGAAAAACAATAAAGGACTTAGTGATAAGGGTCCTGGAAAATTAACCGATGCCTTAATAAATTACTTATCGATATACTACGGTTTGGCGGTCCGTAATTCTGATTCTGTCGATGCTATGAAAGATGCAATATGGACTACTTTTTATCACAAGTGCTCGACGGATGAGAATCTACAACACGATAAGTGTCCGCCCGATGAATCATCATGGTGTAAATAGAAACAAACCGAAGCTAATAACGTTTTGTCTGAATATAAACATCTAGCTCTACTTACGTCACAGGTCCAAGAAGTCATTCGATCTATTTATGAGAACTTATCGTCGGATGATTTATTAAAACGATGTTTAGGTGGCTACATTCAAAACAACAACGAGTGTCTCAATTCTTTGATTTGGAGTTTCGCACCGAAACACATATTCTGCACAATAAAAACTATTGAAATTGCATCATTTTTGACAGCATGCATTTTCAATGAAGGTTTTAATTCTGTGCTTCGAATAATGGAAGCCATGGGAATTAAGATTGGAATAAACGCGTCAATAATGGCTACCAGACAAGACAATAAACGGATAAGAAACGCTGACAAACGTGTTCTACAAGCTTCAAAAGAAGCCCGATCTGCCCGTCGATTGAAGATTGCAACAAAAAACGAGCTATATGAAGAGGAAGAAGGAGTACTATACGGTCCTGGGATCGCCGACTAGCTGTAAGTACTACTTAAACTTTAAACGCGTTTTTTTTCGAAACGTTTTTGAAGTTGGTGGAAGTTCTGTACAAGTCCCAAATCATGCGATCGATATGATTTTGGTCTTAAAATGTTCGTAAATACCGCCTCTTTAAAGTAGACTAGAATAAAGAGAAAATTTTTTGTTAATGAATAAATAACTGCAACAATTTTTCATAAAAATAACACATTTTTTGTTTGAATGATTACAGCTCACTCAAAAATTTTTGTAATTTTTTTATTTTAACCTATATGAAGCACAAACCTATATAGATTATAAAAAAAATTGTTTTTTTTTTTCAGGTCATTTTTCAGCCTCTAAGAACTTCCACCAGCTGGCCATCTCGTTCCGCCGCACACTCCGCCCAGCTTGTCTATTACTTAAATTTTCGTAGCGATTTTTTTTATGTTTAATTAAGATAAATTTAAATATATTCCAAATTTTATCTTTAGAATTTTATCTTTAATAGTTCCTTTTTTATAAATTCTAAAAAATTACCCATTTTTCCTGACCAACAAAGTAGAAACCCCCCTTAAACAGTTGAAGGAAACGATGTACGGTCGGGAACAAAAAAGTTGACGACGTTTAGTGTGACTTTTGGAATGTATTCTGTTTGTTTAACGGGAGAATTCTTCCGTTGAACTAAAAGGATATATTCCAAAACTCACACAAAACACTCATCAATCTTTTTTGTCCACAACTGTACAAAAAATTTAAACGATTAATGGACTAAAAATGAAACTGAGTAATTGATTAAAAGTAGCGTTTTGGCTTAATAGAATCGAGATCTTAGAGTTAACTAAAACAATTTTTATCAAATTGGTCGCAATCGAAATCTTATATTAAAGTTAATGTCAGAAATATCATTAGATTTTCAATTATAATTTTTGTTCTTAAAATATTGTAATTAAAAATATGATTGACGAGAAAACTCTAGTAAAAGCTAGTAGCATCGTAAAATTTCATGCTATGAACGTAGACATATATTCGCATCTGTTATTATGTTTTCATTCTTTTTGTATATCTAGCATTGCGACACTACCGTGTTGCTTGATTTTTTCATGTAGATTAATACACGGAATTATTTGTATAATACGGAGGTTATACGTCTACTTTCTTCTCCTTCTTATTCCAACTCAAATGGAATCCTTCTATGATATACGTTAACAATACATTTATTATTATTATATATTATTATTGTTATTACAACGTAACTATAGTTGTCTATATCACTCATAAGATATAGTTATAAGATAATAAAGTTAAGTATCACCTTTAAGGTATTATAACCTATGTTTTTTTACGTTTATTCTTGCGTAATTTTTTTCTTGTTATTTTAAATCGCAAAATCTCGAGTCAACTATCTGAAAGTACTCAATATTTGTACAGGGTGTGCAGGAAGTTCCGGCTTGGCGAAATACCTCGAGAATATAGTTGTATAAAAAAAATGTTTGAGATAAAAGTTGTAGGGCTTAGAAATATCTATTTACTCTTTTTATCCCTTATCCGTTAAAATAAGCCCAACAAACACAATGTTACATGTAACGTACATGTTAGTTGTAATTTCCTACTCAATAATATAACTGTTATATAACATGCGTGTTATGTAACAGTTATATTGTTGAGTAGGAAATTACAACTAACATGTACGTTACATGTAATATTGTGTTTGCTGGGAGGGATCCTAATTAAAAAATTCAAAGTAACCTTCGCCTGAACTTGTCAACGTAACCGAAGGTTAAACGGATAAAAAAGTAAATAGATATTTTTAAACCCTATAACTTTCGTCTGAAACATTTTTTTTCTACAACTATATTTCTCGAGATATTTCGTTGAACCGGAACTTTTTGCACACCCTGTACATATATTGAGCAGTAAAATTTCGAGTTATTAAATAAAATAGATGGGCTAATCAGAGCGTGCGACGCGGCAGGCGGGACATACGGCTCGCCGCGGCAGACGAAGAAAATGATTACTCATGGGTCTATCTTATAAACCAGAGAAGTGAGCCATAATCTTCGTGACGGTCACTATGAAAAGAATAACGTGTGCGCGAAAGAAAGAGATGGAATATCATATATCCGTCTCCTTTCCGAGCAATTGTCCATTTTCTTCGCCGACCGCGGCGAGCCGTATTTCCCGCCTGCCGCGTCGCACGCTCTGATTAGCCAATCTATTTTATTTAATAACTCGAAATTTCAAGTGGTTGTTTAAAAAAAGACACCGATTCCATACTCATCCCGACCTATTCTAGCTACATATTAGCTCTGGTACGGTACGAGTCAGACACCCTATATATTTGCATTATTTAACTAACCATGCACTTGTTCGTTCTATTATTCCATTTTTTTATAATTATATATTTTAATTACATATTTTAATCACATTTATCAATAGAAATTAGTTAAAATTTTTTAGAAACAAAAATGTTTATATAGGCCAGTATTTATTCGAACCTTTTTTTCTTAATTCTGACGCATAGATGAAATTTAAATTTTTGGAAATTATGTTTTCGAAACAACTTGTACGGGAAATGAAAGATTCTTCTTAAAGAATATATATTTTCCTAAGCAAAATACTGAGCAAAAAGATATATATACATATCATATATATTTTACATACCACTACACAAGTATCCTTGAGGACCGATGCCACCAATGATAAGTTGACAGTGATTACAATAAGTTATCGTGAAGTACTGATGTGCTACAAAGTGGTGTCCTCTGATAGTCATCTTGCGAGTTTTACCAGTAAGCAGACGAGCTTTGATGTTGGACTTATCTTTCGCGACGAAGGTGGGCACCCGATCAGCCCACACCGGCCGTAATTGAAAGATCTTTATCAATATCGTAGCTAGACCAGCTGCCGTTGTGAACAAACGCAGATCTATATGTTCCTTTTCTATATCTTCTCTGAAAATTTACAATTTTATATTTATATTCATCATATTACTATTCAATATAGTAATATATCTTTTGACATAAGATCACCAACTAATAACATGTTTATTAAATATTGTAAGTTATACTGATTTAATATCGAGTAATTATATTTTAGAACGACATGATAAAGTTAAATTTTTTTAACAGTGCAGAAGTGCCTGCGAATAAAATTTGATCGTAAAAAAGTATAATTAAATTAAAACTTTTCTATAATCCCCCCTCCCGTTTCAGTTTCCATAAATTATCTATATTTAATTATTAACTATTGGGATATGTAATAAATAATATTGTATCCGATTCAGTCACTGTGTCATAAGAGAATTAAATATATCATAATAATTACTTCGATAATAAAATTATCTAATATTATACGACGATATGCAAAAATTAACACATGTTCATTGACTAGTTCATTATACAGGGTGAGGAAAAAGTATAGAAACCCCGAAAAATCTAAAAAAATATAAGTTTTACAGAAAAATGTTTCAAATAAAAGTTGTAGAATTTAAAAAGGTCTATTCAATAGTCTCATCAATTTGACCCTGGCTGCCGTCGTTAAGGTGAAGTAAAAGTCACCTTGAATTTTTTAAATGGAACACCCCATATATTATTACATATTCTTATAGCTTATCTCGAGAGCTTTCCAAAACACTATAATGAAATATTTTTTCGTTAAGAACTTTTCGAGTAATAACACTTGAAATTTCCAGCACTTTGACATAGAATACAAAATATCTCGTAAAATATTCATCTTTCGGTTATCTTGCCTGAATGCTTTTTTGCACAGAATAATGAGACAAATTAATTGGCTTAAAAATAGTACACAAAATTTTTTTATATTTATTATGTAAAAAATTTTTTGTTTTTTTAAGCCAATTAATTTGTCTCATTATTCTGTGCAAAAAAGCATTAAGGCAAGATAATCGAAAGATGAATATTTTACAAGATATTTTGTATTCTATGTCAAAGTGCTAGAAATTTCAAGTGTTATTATTCGAAAAGTTCTTAACGAAAAAATATTTTATTATAGCGTTTTGGAAAGCTCTCGAGATG